GAGGTGTTGTGAGCTGAGGGTGAGGTAAAGTGAGGGAAACACTAAAGTTCGACTATTCCTAGCCTAGGCTAGTATCAACTTCAGATGACAAGCGGAAAGTTCCTGATCGAAACGGGAAGGCAAGGACGAGGGAGACCTCTGATTCAACCGTTTAAGCTTCCTGAAGGTTCCGCAAGGGCGCTTTTCCGGTCGAACATCAGGAAAAATCGAATGGCATGTGAGCCGGCTGTCACCAACCGATTTCGGATACAGCTTGCGATGATTTTAAGCTCCTAGAGAAAGCTATTTGATAGAGCCCAAATGCAAAGGGCCCTCTGTCCATTCTGCTCTTTTCCCAAACTTGTAAGATTTCGAAATGAGACACTGTAGGATACAGCGTTCACGTTTGCATCTTTCAAAATGGCATTTGCCCTCTGCTCCCTGAATTTGATTTATCTCCTTGCTTCATCGTGGAAATTAAAAGAGAAAGTCTTTAATCTAGTCTAACCTCTTCAAGAACATTGTACGTCCCTCAAGTGCCGAATTAATCAGGATCTGCTTGTATAAGCTCACACTCATACTTGACTTTTGAGTCAAACCTACTCACCCACCACTCAATGCAAAAAGGCTTCCTCCACCCCCTCAACCGAAAGCTTAACTCTCAATGAGGCGGTATTCCAAGATGATTGGGGAGCCAACCCTGGTCATAAAAAATATTTCCTCGGGAGACCACTAGTTAGCCTCGTAGAAAAAATCAAATCGTTAAGATCTAACGTCGCACACCCACTTCTCGCACACCCCCACATTTCGCACACCCATAAATTGGGTCATCATGAGGTATTCATCAACTTCATAACTATAAGTCTGATTCGTCTCCTGCAACTGTGATACTATCGCCAGTTTTAATAGGTAATTCAGGCTCGCTAGATTCATCTGAGCTATCCTCAATTTCGCCAGCCTCAATTTGGGCTTTGTGAATTGCCTCAATGTTGGCAAACTTCGAATTTGGGCTCATTTGGACCTTACGCCGCTTCCGTACCATTCCAGCCTCAACTTCTGCTTCCAACATTGCAATCTTCTTCTCTGCTGTAGCCAATTGATAGTCCTTTTCATCAAATCCCTTTTGAACCTTCCGAAACAACAGTCGCTGCGTTTGCTGATCTTTATCCAACTTGCTGAATAAGCTAAGTTGATCATATAGATCAACTGTCTTCTTGGGCGTTGACCAGGCTACTATGGATGTAGCAGATGCCCAGTTTTCGTCTTTTCCACCATCAGAGGCCCTCATAGGCGTAGAATAGCCTGGCTTTGAGGGCTTGGAAGCATTCTCAAGCAGTAGAGGGCTCATGAGCGGTCGAGCTATCGAAATGGGCCATAGTCCTGTTGCTTTCCAGCCGCTTCTGATATTCTTGCTTGAAAATGCCATCTGGCGTGCTTTTCCATAGCAGGTAAGAAAGTTCCGTTTGCCTACAACTGTAGAATCGTTGTGTTGAATGAGGTATCCAAGCTCTTTTCGATAGGTCGCCTTGAGAGGCCCAAAGACTGCTTGGTCTAGAGGTTGGAGAACGTGGGATGTATGTGGCGGTAGGAAAAGGAGATATATCTTGTGTTTATAACAGAGATACATAAATTCTGTTGTTTCATGACTGCCATGACCGTCTAGGATCAATAGTCTCTGCTCAGAGGGATGATCAGGCTTAGTCAGAGGGATAAAGATGTTCTCAAGCCATTCCACAGCTGTAGAGTCTGAAGTCCAGCCATTCTCAGTTGCTGTGAACTTCCAACCACTGTAAATATCACGTTTATGGATATCAAGAGGAAACCATTGTTGTTGAACCGATTTCCCTCGATAAATAACAAGTGGAGGAAGCGCCTGACCAGTTGCAGAGACACACTCAAGCATAGTTGTCCAAGCCCGAGACCCAGGCTGTTTTTTTCGCATTGATGAGCTTTCTGATGATCCCAGTACTAAGCCATTTGATCCTCTGCCTTCTAGGATACCAGTTTCATCCATGTTATAGCGATGATGTGGTTTGATCGCCTTGATCTCTGGAAGGGCGAGTTGTTGAAACCATTGCCTGATTACATTAGTTGAGGCCCCATTGACACGCTTAGAATCGATGGCTCTAGCTCTATGAACCTTGATTGATGGATTTCTCTTAATAAAGAACTGAATCCAGTTTCTCCCAAGTGGCTGGGTAGTGCCTCTGATGTCTAGGATTCGCTGGGCAAATTCCTTGAGTTGTTGATGTGTTGGCGGCAGCCCTAACGCCGCCTGGATACGCACCCATTCAGCTAAGTGACTTTCCTGTGCTGGAGATAGCTTCTGGAAGCTAGAGAAAGCTACATTTCTTGCCTGTGAACCCTTTAATCGAGACTGGAGGGTTGATGGTGGAATTCCAGCATCATGAGCTGCCTTTCGGACACTCTGCCCACTTGCAACTGCATTGAGAGCTTGATTGACTTCTGTTTCCGTATACTGGCCCATTAAGCGTATAAGAGTAACTATTCAAAGAATTATAATAATCGCTGTAAAAGTGGTGAAGATATTAAAGAATGTTGAAGAGGGTAAAATTCTACATGAGCGATTTATGGGTGTGCGAAATGTGGGGGTGTGCGAGAAGTGGGTGTGCGACGTTAACGATCTTAGCCAATAATCTTAACACACAAGCTTCTTTTCATAGTTTGAAATGGCAGAAGGCCCTTCTAGCTGATGGGCCTTAATTATGTTATTTTGAAGTAGTAAGGTAATCTGGTAATAGAGGATGAAATCTATATCCTACGCACATTAATGATCACACTGTCGCTACATAATCACCAGATTTAAAGCTTAAGTCGACTCTTTGCATTGACTCCTGCAACATGGAAACGCTCACAAGCTGATCCTGGGATACCGAATGATACTTATCCAGTGGACTGGATTCATACTACTAGTAATATCTCATCTTGAGGTGTCTTTGGTCTCATCAAATTGGTGGGAAACCTGGTCAATCCCAGTACACGGGCAGTGCTTTCCGCCCATCGCAATGCCAAGACTTTCCTTGCTCATGGGTGTGCTCCCCCAGTTGTCGTCTCGAGGCGAAGATTCTCATGATTACTCTACAGCCCCAACTCAAGCAATGCAAACAGATTTTGACAGTTCTTGGCGGCTCTTGGCGCTTGATTCTAAGGCTCATGATATTATGTTGTCCAAACTCGAATTGTACAACGAAAAGGCGGTTTTCGTTCTTGGAAGCTGCTTGCTAGCCCCAACAAGACCTTGCCTATCACTTGATGTACATGTAACGCCCCCAAACCACGAAAGCGGGATTCGAAGAGCCGAATGTATTTTAATGTCGCCATGGTTTGCTTTGCTTGATCACCCGGAGCCGAATGACAAAGTTGCCCCTGATCATTTAGTCTTTCTTTGTCGGCGCCGATTAGCCAGTGGTGCTGTCTGCGCGGATGCAGCCGAAGGGTCGGTTGTATGGAAAATATCAGATCCGGAATTTTCTGAGCAAGAGACTCATCCCACGCCGCCATACATGAGTCGCGAGGACTGGGACATGCACAGTTCAAAGCACAAACCAGCGTTCGTGCCGTACGTGCGCGCCGACAGTTATGGCCGATGGGCTAAGCTAAGGAGGGATCCGTGTGGAGGGAGAGGGTGGCTTAAACGTCCAAACTCGGACTGGTAAGTAGTCCAGCAGCTTATTTTGTACTACCAGTGACTTTCTCGCCAGAGCATAAAACGCAGCCACTAAGACAGCTACGCTTTTCTCAGGTGGAAGTAAATGGCACCATAGTGTTGAGCGAGTCTCCTTCAAAGGAGCCAGGAGTTACACAGAAAAGTCAAAGTGGCGAAGTCTTCGGACAAATAGAGCTTGATGTTTGGACGACGCACATTTCAAGGTTGCAAGGTCAATCATCTGCCGCCGCGAATGCGAGGAGTCAAAAGTGCAACAATCCTAAAGTCTAGTCACACTTTTGGTATTGGACCACGGGAGATACGGCACTTTTGAAGAACGACGAGATGCCATGCGATGGGAAATTCTTTCATAAACAACATGAAAAGAGGTTGTAGATACTAGTGAGGCGGCCGCCATCATATGTGAGCGGCGTAGTGCCGGAACATGTCTTGCGCGGGTAGCAGCCAACTATGCCGACCTCGTCGTCGGGTGAGCATCAGCTGGCCGACTATGGGACCGCCGTTAAAACTGTTAAATATGAAGATGCAGCGTGTTGTTACACACTATGTGATGCCTTAATCGGGGACGTCGCCTCAAAAGTCTGTTCAACCTTGGTGCGACCAATCTAGTGTGACAGACTGACCAAGTACACACCTCTCATGCAATAAATCAGCAGCTTGCGATGCATACACGTCCTAACAGAAGCCCAAGGTTTGTTTCAACCCCAACAGAGTTCCTTTCTCGCGGCCAATCCCCGCTCCCCGCCCTCCCCCTTCAGCCTCTGGCTAAACTTCCAGACGACAGCATACCAACCGGAATCAACGCAATGCGCGTCTCAGAGACCTACTTCGGAAGTCGGGCTTCCCTTGGGCAGACAGAGTAAACGTAAAGAGGGACGGAAAGTACAGCCCGCCAGACAGGCGCGGGGACGTACGTCGTCTGAAATTCATGCCCGTGCATGCCGAAAGCGACATGGGGATCAAGGGTTCAGGTGTCCCATCGCGCAGAACCAGCACACCCCACGGACTGAACCTTTTGCGCTCGCCTGGCTTTTTTGTCGGTATATCGTCTGTTCCCACCAGTACGCACGCACTGAAACGACGTATGCTAACATTATGCTCAGGCCACCGAAGGGAAGGGGCTTATTTGTATAGCGGCAGAGCTAGAAGCCTGAAGAGGGGACATGACGACCCGGCAAGCAAGGGAAGATTTGAGTCGTAAATAAGGACGTTGTTTCCCACCTCCATCACGGCCTACCGTTCCAAAGACTTTCCGCTGGACATCCTACTCCATCAAGGACGTGCCGACACACAAAGGATGGAATAAGGGCAACATCAATCAGCCTCAGTCATCATGAACGCTTACAACCCCCGAAGGGTGTCATACCTGAGACCTCCCGCTACGGGAGGTCAGATGCCCCGTCCATGGGTATCGCCATATCCTTCTCTCAGCTCAATCGGATACCCGCCGTCAGAAAGGTCGGCCGACGAGCGATTCGCGTCCGCTGTCTGGCACCGCACATTCAACCACATAGATTACGCCGCGTACAAGGCAGCATGCGATGCGGAGAGGGAAGCAAAACCTGAACGAGATCCGGACGTCTTTTCGGTCACCTCAACATCCTGTCGAAGTGGGTTCTCGCGTGTAGGCGCCATGCTCAGCATTTACCCTTACCGCGACATGGGGTGGCTTGCCACCATGGTTTTCATCGGGGGTGGCATCTGCTTCTGCCTCAACGGCATATTCTCTCTGCTCCCTCTACTCAGCCCTCAACTTGATTTCCCCGGGCAGGACGCCGGAATCCAGACTACTCTGACGTTAGGCGGCACACTATTCGCTCTCAGTGGACTCATGGGTCTGCTTGCCGCCTTCAATGTCGACCGTGGTAACTTGGACCCCAAGAAAGACGCACCCGACGCCTATAAGCCAGCGCTCCTCGGCAGCGATGAATGGGTCTGGTGGCCCAGCTGGTACGAGTTGCGCAATATATTTCTACCCAGCCTGGCCTTCCGTGCCGGCATACTACAGTTTCTCGCCGGGTCTTCTTTTACCATCTCGGCAGTCGCCGGTATTCCCGGTGTTCTCGATCTCACCCATCCTAATGCTTCAATTATTTTTGTTTCTTCTCCTCAACTGATTGGTGGCGGCCTTTTTGTGCTCGCTGGCTTGTTGATGATCTATCTGTCTCAAGACAAGTGGTACATGCCGAAGTTTCTCGACGCTAGCTGGCAGAATGGATTCTGGAATTTGGTTGGCGCTGGTACCTTTTTGGCTGTTGGAGTTGTGACTCTATTGGAAAAGACAGCAGCTTTGGCGATTGCATCATTGTTTCTGACTGGAGGCTTGGGCTTTCTTTTGGCCGCCTTGATCCAGTGGTACATTATTATGGAGTTTTATCCGGCTGATCCTTATGTCGAAGATCCCGCCGCTGCTGCGGAGATCCCCTCGCAGTCGATTTACTAACGATGTTATGACTGGACTTTTGGGAGTGGGATTATCTCAAAAGATTTACATTTAGATACTGACCCAGATTATTTTAATTTACGATGTTATGACCCTCATCGTACTTAGCTCACCGCGGTGTCGTAAGCTGTTGCCACTTGTCATGTCATCCAGTTGCATATTGAATGAAACGCTCATAGACAAAAAAGCAGGAGATATCGTTTTGTTTCCCAGGTGAGATAAAAAAAACATTTGGCTGCTCTTTGGTAAGTCTTTTTGTAAGCGAGTAAGAGAACTTCTGATTTCAACTGTCATAATCTTTGATCTGAGCTTTCGCCCGTGAGATTGATTGGGGCCATAGCGCTGTTGAATACTTTGCAATCTTCAGAAAAAAAAGATAGAAAAGAACATCTGCGTTGATGTGACACAACTGCACTCGGGAAAAAGTCCTTCGTCAAATCTATGAGACAACGAAACTAATACACATTTACGGGACTTTACAGTCCGCAATCCTCTCCTTGTCAAGATTGACCCCAACCTAGTTACCAAAGTTAATCCAAAGTTAATTCTGAACTCCATTGCCATATAGCAGTCTATCTAACTCAACAGCAAATTTGTGACCTTATTGTTGATACTCTTCCCTACCAAAAAAAAAAAAAATGCCGAAATCCTTTAATACGCCTCACCCATCATTTCTTTGCTCTACGAGCAGCAATCTTGTAGAATATGCTGCCGTCGTAAATTCCGCGAATGTCTTCCTTCGCCATTCGTCCGTCATGAGGCCAAAGCATCAGATATGTGGCCAGCCCTACGCAATGGTCAATGTCACAACGTCTCGTGTGTAAACAGATTGTCTGATCTTTACTCACACTCAAAGAAAGCTCCACCCCAACCAATGGGATCGGCAATAAGCCTCTGGCCCTTGAGTAGAGCAAGCACATCCCATATGGTCATGTAATCTTTACCAGCGGCGTACTTAACAAACATGTCTTCAAACTTTTGAGGGTTGAATCTCCCTTCGGTATCGTACGTGTTGCTATCACTGCCATGTTTGTCCTTGTGGATGTTCTGAATGTAAATACGAAAAAAGGGGTCTGGTATGTAACCAGACAGTGTGGGGTACGAGAAGTTGCTGTGAATAATGAAAACGGCGACGAGGGATAGGAATATTCCGAATCCCAATTTGTGAAAGCCCCAGAATGTGTCCGTGGGCCATATCACACCATCTTTGTCCTGGGTGCCTGTTAATGATCTACTGATTCCCCGCCATGCGGACCCTGTAATACTTACGGTGTCGAAGAAGTCGCAGTGTTGCTGTAGGACCTGTGATCGATAGCGTAAGCTTTAGAACTAAAGTTTCAAGTATAATCTTTTTGATTGTTTTTACAGTTTGATGGCGATGCTTTTTAGCCCAGTCATTCTCTGTGGTACCATTGGGATGTTCAAAAGTTGCGGCGATGTTGGCCCGCGGAGTCCCTTCATCAATCTGTTAGGCACATTTTTTCTAACAGTACACACAATGCGACGGAGATTACTAACCCGTGTGTGCCAGCTTCTGGTCATCCTCCGGTTGCAGAAACGGCTTCCGCTGGATGGTAACCGGAACTTCCGGGATTGAGTACACCACTGGTTCCCCGAGCATGTCGGTGGGGTGTTGTGACGTTGTGTAAGTCTGTTCTTTGGTGGCCATAGTAATTAGAGCTGAAGGACTGATGTGGTGCAGAGTAACCATTCAGATTTTTCAGATTAGAAAAGGCACAGTTCGTAGTGGAATATATGAGGCGAGATCCAGTTAATGGCTCTGTTTTTGTACAATCCTCGTCGTGCTCATCGTGACGTCATTGCACCCTCACTAACACCTCGCCATTCCGATGGTCAGGCCATGAATTAACTTGTTTCAGTCTTTCATGTGATAGAGCAAGCAATCAATGTTTTACCTAAACGCATGTTCCTCGATGGGGAACGCTAGGAACCCCAAAACAGCCTGCTCAAAGCATTGGCTGGGCTGTCTGCGGCACATTTCTCACGCCAAGAACTTGCCAAGGGTGCCATCCATCAGGGTCTCGATCGAAACATAAGAGAGTACAAGAGGGAAAGGTAGAATTGTAATTGTGACGAGATTCTGACCCATCGGTCGGGATATTCATCCCTAAACCCCATTTTTGCATGAAAAGAAGTGCTCTCTTGCTTGCAAATATAGCCTGCGATTTCATGTTAATGCCTCACAGTGGGATTTTTGACGGCAAGATGACTCCAGGAAAGCTTCTGAGCTTGAAATCATGCTGTTGTTATCAGTTCCGATGCATATATCCACACTCGCGTAAATAAACGGATTGTAAAATAAAACAACCTCGTCTTCCCTTGCATGCAGGTAAAAGTCGATCAGTCGACATCATTATCAACCCATACAAAGACAACCCCAGAAACCGCCAATTACTGTACATATCAACCAACTATGGATAAAGCACTTCAGACAGCTCTCAGCGCTGGGTTGTCGTCGGTGTCTGGCTATCACTCAAACAAGCCCAAACGCGTCGACCCAGAGTTGGCAGGCAAGAATGTTCTACCCCAGAGTTTCAACCCAACGCCGAAAGATCGCATTTCTTTTCCCGCCGCCAAAGGCGAAGTAAAGGCTTCATACATCTCCATTGGCGGCTGGCCATGGGGTGATAAAGCTACATGGCACTACGATGAGAGTGAATGGATCAAGATCCAAGAGGCATGGCAAGCACTTTACGACGCTGGAATCAACTTCATCGATACTGCCGAGAGTTACGGCAATGGCGAGAGCGAGAAGATTCTCGGAGACCTGATTAAAGGCCTTCCTCGAGAAAACGTCGTAGTGCAAACGAAGTATTTTAGCACCCCCCTAAAGGCGACAAATTTCACCCATCCCATCGATGCGCCGATCATCAGTCTTAAAGCTAGCTTGGAGCGAATGGGGCTTGATTATGTCGACATCTATCTTGTTCACGGACCCATCCATCCTCAGAGTATTAGCACCATCGCAGAGGGGATGGCGAAGTGTGTCGAGGAAGGTCTCACACGAGCTGTCGGCGTCGCCAACTACGACGACGACGACGTGCTCAAGATGCGCGACGAATTAAAGAAGTACAACATCCCTCTGGCGACGAACCAGTGCGAGTTCAACGTTCTCCGTCGCTACCCCGAAGTTTCGGGCAACATCAAGAGATGCAAGGACAACGACATCGTTTTCCAATCATACTCCTCTCTCGCGCAGGGTCGTCTTTCAGGCAAGTACAGCGCCGAGAATCCTCCGCCAAAGGAGTACCGCTTTAGCAGCTACGACATGAAGGATATCGAGCCCACCCTTGTTACCTTGCGTGAAATCGCAGAGAAGAGAGGCAAGAGTGTTGCCTCCGTATCCCTCAACTACAACATCAGCAAGGGTGTCGTACCAGTGGTTGGAATTCGTAATGTTGAGCAGGCAAAGGCGGCCATTGACGCGCTGGGTTGGAGGCTCAATGAGGACGAGGTGGTTGCTATTGACAAGGTCAGCGTTGAGGGCAGGACAAGCACGCTGTGGCAGCAAGGCTAAAAGTATCAATCTATGATGCAAGGGATGAGCGAAGAGTCGATTTTGCCAGGAATTTAGCAAGAAACTCCGTGCTACGGACCTCATGATGTACGATGTTACGTCTGATTAGACTACACACACTGAAATATTGAACTATAAACACTGAAAGTAACTACGGCATTGACTGAGCCTAAGAAAGTTGATCGGTGACCGAAGATAAATGCACCTTATAAGGCCTCGCTTGCCACATGCTATCACCAGTTCCTATATTGGTTTAAGAATTTGCCCTCAAATTCTTTCATTCTCTTACGTTTGGCTACAGCGTGAGTTCAAGAATAAACCATGTGGCAATCATTCTGGGTAAATGGAGTCGCTCAGGTTTGTGCACTAGCGCTCAGAGTCGAGTTTTACATTCTTTCACCAGAGCCCAACAACGTGACGTACACGACGCCCTCGCCCGTTTAGCTACAGGATGATGACATTGTATTCGAGTAGATCGGGCCATTTCCACTCACATTTCCAAAAATATCTCGCGCATCACTTCTTGGCAAGCTTCTGGTGGCCTTGCTCGACTGCGAACGCTTGGACAGTGCCCAGGCTCGAGCCATATGGCAACAGTGGCTTCCTATCAAGTAAATTTGGCGTCTTTGTTCTGTAGTGAAACTACTCTGCGTCCCCGAGCTGGTATTCAGGCGGCGCCCTGCCGGCCTGTGGCTTTCATCCCTTGGCGTTTCCAGCTTTCCATGGTGCACGGGTGAGGCACCAACCATGTGATTGAAGGGTGTTCGGCATGGTCAATGTAGGTCGGCCAGTGCGTCTACGGCAGTGGCATTTCCCGAATTTCGCAATCACACAGCATGTTATCATTGCAGAGCTGAGTCCAATCAGATTCTCCTTCTCGGACTTAGGAACTCGTGTTTGACATTTTGACACCAGCTCGAAGACATTTGCCCAATGTCAGTTCGTCTGACTTTCCGAGCATTTGGCTTTGACCCCCTGACAGACCTCTCAAAAAGGAAATCTCTGGAGAACACGTCTGGATAAAGAACCCAAAACAGGTCCCTGAGAGAGAGAAATTATGAGGACAATACTGCAGCCTTGGTAATCAGAGCATCGACACGAATGGGCAGGACAGGGCGTCAACGCAAGCGCGCTCGTCCGTTTAAACACTCAACTTTTCTGTTTACTTCTGGAAAACTGCAACGGCTGTCATAGTTGCAGTTAAATGACTTCCAGAGAGCCAGAGCACCGGGACAAATACCTGAGAGTTTGATAGCAGAATAATTCACAAGTCTGATGAAGCAACGTTTCGCAAAACCGTTTTGAAGTTCATGGCGGCTACATCTTTAGGTAGCTCCAAGTATTGTGCTGAGAAGCATGTAAAATTTGCTGCGAAGCATTTACAAAGGGGATTTTTATTGGTTATTGCCACCCAGCTGGTTGAGTTTTGCAGAAGAGCCGACAAAATACAAAGGACATCAAAAATGAAGTTTTACGATTTTCGAAAAAAGATGTGATCAGTGGGAGGCTTGAACTCCCGGCCTTGGCATTACACAACATATCGTATGACATATTAGTACCACGCTCTAACCAACTGAGCTAACCGACCTGTAACTGCTGATGTCAGATTAGTTATCGAAACTATACTTATTGGGCGTCTGTGGAGATCCCAAGAGATCGCTGAGACGAGCGAATCGACCTCTTGTAATTGAAAGTAACCAAAGATCAACGGCTTCAGGTTGTGATGGCAACCTCTGTCACCTATTTGGGCGGATCAAAATCGCTATGTGTGGTCAAACTCTTGGCTTAAACCTTTCTCGGCAGATTAAAAGTTAACTCACTTCTTAGCACTACGTAGTAATGAGAAAGTTCCTATGACTTTGAGCTTCTAAACGGCCCTGAGGACTATCTTGGCTTAATTGAACAAATTTGATTGGGTTAATGACAATGCGGGCAGGCTTTCTTTTGCAGGCTCCCTGCGCTAGCATGTCACTTTTGACTGGCCATGTGATGTCCGCAAGCTCGTATGGCCATACGGATGGTCAAGCAGTGATACGCGTAAATTTTACCGGTAAGAGGAATACACAGTCGGTGCTACCGCAAGCTCCATGAAATCCGAGGCCGAAACCCCGCAGCTCTGATTATCCCTTGTCCAGGATTCCAGGATACAAGTCACGTCAGCAACAAAGAGAACTTCTCCAACGACTTCCCTAAACAGGCAACTTAATCATTACGCAATGACTGCCGGCCCTACGGTGTGCTAAGCACCCTCAAACATCTACCGGTATTCTATATGGGAGCTTCAACATTATTGCCAAAACACCTAAAAGATTACACTCACATTCCAAGACTGTGGGGAGACGAGCTCACAGACTTCGAACCTCGTTCACGTCACTCGCTTCTTCCCCAGATTCTTGAAACTTGTTGTTTTCCCCGCCCGGATGTGCCGCTCCTGCCATGTGTTAAAGCATCACCATCAAAACAGACTGTGCACGCCCGCGGGAAACGAAAAACGGCATGACAAAGAGAAGTCCCGCCACCATGGACTCGAATGTCCGAGAGCCACTTCGCATCAATGCGCTGCGTCCCCGAGCTGCCGAAGACGAGAAGATCTCTCTCCATTTGAATGGCCATTCCTGCAGCTTTTTGACCGACATGATGCCCGTTGAGAGCCAATTTACCAGCAGCAGCTTTCGCAGCAACACCAACGAAACCAGAGACTACCATTCCCCCAATAAGCAACTTGATCATTTCTCTGATTCACAATGTATGAGCCGGTCTCGCCCCCAACGACGCAGCCAATCATGGCTAACCGCCGCGTTGTGCCTCACGGCCCTCATCCTGACCTCGGCCTGGTATGCCAACAGGCTATCCGGCGCCGGCAGCGGGTCCTGGCAAGCCCGCCAGCCACCACAATCCCCTGCTTCATCTTCACCAGCCCGGAAATGGAATACGGCCGTCTCCAGGGCGACTGCGTTTACCGCCCAGCTCAACCTTACCGAAAAGACTCTGATGGTTACCGGTCAGATCGGTCTTGAGGCTGGTGGCTGCATCGGTAACATCCCGCCGATCGAGCGCGTTGGCTTCCGCGGCCTCTGCTTGCTCGACGGCCCCACGGCGCTTGATCGCGCCGATCTCGTTAGCGTATTCCCTGCTGGCCTCACAACGGCGGCTAGCTGGGACAAGAACCTCATCTACAAACGTGGCAAAGCCTTGGGCGAAGAATTCCGTGACAAGGGCGTCCACGTCGGACTTGGGTATGTACGCCTGAGGTAATCTGTGCACTTCGTTGGCTAATTTTGAACAAGCCCAGTTGCTGGACCTTTGGGCCGGAACCAGCTTGGTGGGCGGAACTGGGAAGGGTTCTCTGTAGACCCCTATCTCACTGGAGTTGCAATGCGTCTCACAATCGAGGGCATGCAAGACGCTGGAGTGCAAGCCTGTGCTAAGCACTTCATTGGCAATGAACAGGAGACGCAAAGAACAAACTCCTGGCTTGAAAACGGCACGGAAATAGCGGCAATTTCATCCAATATCGACGATCGCACCCTGCATGAGCTGTATCTATGGCCCTTTGCCGACTCTATCCGGGCCGGCGTCGCTAGCATCATGTGCAGTTACAACCGACTAAACCAGACGTATGCTTGTGAGAACTCAAACCTGTTGAACGGCGTTCTCAAGGATGAGCTTTCTTTTCGGGGTTATGTGCAGAGCGACTGGTTCGCAACTCATTCCGGAGCCGTTTCAATCAACGGAGGTCTGGACATGAACATGCCGGGGCCGATTGGCCACGCTGAGACCCTGACTGGCGAAACATACTGGGGACCTAATATCACAAAGATGATCAAGAACGGTTCTGTCACAGAGGATAGGCTCGATGAAATGATCCGTCGGATCATGACCCAATATTACCTATTCGAACAGGACAGTGACAAATACCCAACAGTCGACCCTTCCATCATCTTTACCATCGCCGCACAATCGAACCTATTGGACTTATTGCCCTTTCAGCCTCCACCAAGCCGAGATGTCCGGCGGGACCATGCAAAGCTTATTCGTAAGCTAGGCGCGGAAGCCACCGTACTTCTCAAAAATGTGATCAACACGTTGCCCCTACAGAAGCCGACCAGCATCGGTGTCTTTGGCAACGACGCTGCGGACCCATCCGACGGTCTCGTATTCGGCGCTGGCTTTGAGATTGGTACTCTCACTGTTGGCGGCGGCTCTGGCACAGGCCGTCACACCTATATCGTTTCTCCCCTCGAAGCCATCAGGAACCACGCGCGCAAGACCGGCGCTCGCTTGCAATACATCCTCCGCAACAGCGTGCTAGCTGCGGGCGATTTCAGTAGCTTGTATCCCATCCCGGAAGTCTGCCTGGTATTTCTCAACACGTTCGCCTCGGAGGGTTACGACAGGACGGATATTGAAGCCGACTGGAACTCGACACTGGTTGTCGAGAATGTGGCGCGACGTTGCCCAAACACAGTAGTCATAACTCACTCTGCCGGCATCAACAGTCTGCCGTGGGCGACCAATCCTAATGTTACTGCTATATTGGCGGCCCATCTACCTGGCCAAGAATCCGGGAACTCGATTGTTGATGTACTCTGGGGAGACGTTAACCCTTCTGGCAAGCTACCATATTCTATTGCCGTCGATCCTGCAGACACCGACATTCCGATTGTAAATCTCACTCAAGCCGAGATAACATCTCCTACAGCCTGGCAGGCCAATTTTACGGAAGGCCTCTTCATAGATTATCGTCATCTAGATGCTCACAATATCGACCCGCTTTACGAGTTCGGTTTTGGTTTAAGCTACACCACATTTGACATGCGGTCTTTGCAAGTTAAACAGCTAGTGAAGGATCTCGCTGCCTCTCCCGATACCTCCATTCCAAATACCCCAGGAGGCAATCCAGAGCTCTGGAAATGCATCATACGTATCACTACCCATGTTACAAATACGGGGCCCGTTGCTGGCGCGACAGTACCCCAACTCTATGTCTCTTTACCTCAGGATGCTGTTCCAGAGGGCACTCCCGTCCAAGTTCTTCGGGGGTTTGAAAAGGTCTTTCTGGAGCCAAAGGAGTCAAAAGTCGTCGAATTCGAGTTATTGCGAAGGGATGTTAGTTTCTGGGACGTGGCGTCGCAGGCGTGGGTTATTCCTGAGGGGTCAATTGAATTTCGAGCTGGGTTCAGCTCTCGAGACATAAAAGCTAGGGTGGAGCATACTGTGCGTTTTCCTTCCAAAGGTCGGTAACTTTATGGGCGTTTGAATTTCCTGCACTACCAATAATTTATTTCCTCATCTCGTAGTAGCAATCAGACAATCTGAAAATACATCTCCTCAAACTCGGGCCTTAGCCCCTCGCCATCCATCAGGCCATGAATGTAGCAGTCCCCAATAATGCGCCAAGTTCCATCTGCTGTTTGTCGAACAACAAAAGTAGAATCGCATCCGTGAAACAAAACTACAGCATCCCCAGGCTGCGTTCCGTCAACCACCCAACCAAACCGGCCACCCTCAGACCGATAGAAGCGACGATTGTAAGTCCATTTGTTGTGTGCTCCACTAAACGTTTCGAACGCCTCTTTCTCCTTCAAGTAGTAAGCGTCAGAGTCCCGCAGGGACATGCCGTGGTTGTCTATCTGGTCGCGTATCCGCGTTTGCAGAACCGCATCCAAACCCGATCCCGAACTGCCGTTCAGGCCTACTGTTATCTTGAAATAAATATCCATGCCGGCAGCAGAGTTTTCACCAGGTCTCTCGTTGTCACGGGTTCTGTTGCACATGAGTGTCCTCCAGAAGTTTTCCCAACCCTGGGCCGTGGTCTTTTTGTCGGGGAATGCAACATCTATAACGCCAAGATGCCAGTTCTTCATGTTCTCAATGGCCATCTCAATGAACTTTTCATACCTGTACCTGGCATCCTTAGGGCGTTTTCTCCCAGCGGGTTGATTTGCGGTGCCAGCCGTGTCGTCATCCTCGTATGGCGGATCAGGTTCGGCATCGAGGATTCGACCACCATATACACTCATTTCGATTTTTTCAGGGTCGAACTTACTCCTATCATCTTTTTCATCGTCCTGAGAGCCCCTTAGTCCCTGCTGGTTTGGTGGCGGTATTTGGCGTTTTGATTCGACGCTTGCTATCCTGTCAAGCATCCTTCCTTTGATGCGAAGGATGCCTGCATTTTCGTCAATTGCTAGATCAGGCTCAACTCCACGGCCGGCTGCGGTTTCCAAACCGCGGGTGCGCAATGGCTCAGTCCAGCCAGGGCAAGTCCAGTCCGGTACCCAGGACGGTAGCTCAAGAGTCTTGGGCTTAGAAGAGTCGACGCAGTGTGCAAGGAGGTCCAAACAACCCGACTTCAACTCCCTGACCGCAAAATCGGTGAAGACCTTCTCTGGTGCCTGGGCGTAGTCCACGACAAACTCGTTTTTGCGATTCGTCAGACCCAACACTCCATAAATCTTATCGCTAGGAATCGTAGCTTTGAAGTCTCTCAGCTCTTCTAGCATGTCCAAAAGCGGCATCGCTGTATACGCCTGGGAGTCGTCAATACGCTCCCTACGCAAGTTCTCCATGGTACTGATGGTCTTGAAGGCCTTGCATTCTGTAAGAGCGGAATGGAGTTTGTACGTCGTCGAGTAGAGGACCGTGTTGGACAATAAGTTCCACGGAAACTCTATCTGGCCTAAATGCACCTGAATGCTTTTGGAGTTGGCAACCTCTTGTATGATCCACGTCCGCTTGAACTAGACCAGAAGGTTAGCGCGGGCCTCACATAGACAACATGATCAACAAACATACCCATGCCCGGTTCAGCATTTCGGACAGCAACTCCCATTCCAGCCGATCAATGTTCATGGTGGTGAAGAATTTCCGCTGAATCATCTGCACAGTGGCATCGACCCCGACCATGCTGGTGGATATGTCGTTCAAAACTTGCGACAATGCTGCCAAACTCTGCAAGGCTTGGTAATCTGTCTCTGTCGACTCCCCGAGCCATACTCTTGTCCGTGCTGCGCCAGCGTACACTTGGCCCATTAACTTGACGTGATTATTTCGTTCGATGATATCTCACTGATTGATGCACAGCGCGTCGACCCAAATTCGTAGCGGCGGGCCTTCTTCCTCTCTAAATCTCCTCAGAGCGCGGAAAAGCTCACCACCGACGGTTACAGGGACTCCGTCGCAGATGATGGAGGCATCGGGCATTCTTCCGCCCATGCGAATGTACTGTTCGCCCAAGTAGGGGTGGTCTACTAAGTCTTTCCATGGCAGTCTGCCTGATTTCGTGATGAGCTCGCCATTGTCGTCCTTGCCATGAACGGCCCAGGGAATTTCGGTATCCGGATCAATGTCGTCGAGGTCGACACCTTTGCTCCAGCAGTAGCTCAGCGCTTCGTATGGTTCGTCGGGTGAATCAAGTTTAATGTGTGAAAGACCGCATACCAAATCGTCGGCAAACTTTCCTGGTTGAACGGTGAGAACACGAATTTCATGCGGAAGATTGAGGGGGCTGTAAGGGTAGGTCGCCATGGCGAGATAACATCTATTGAGGGAAACTCGGTGATCTAAATCAACCTAGAATTTTCCATTGTTTTATGTTCTCACAAGCGACAATGACTGCGGCTATCTTGGTATATACAGTGTCCCCCCCTGTCCGTTGCAGCCTGAACTAGACTATGTAGGCTCGGCTGCCTCCATGCCAGGATCCTTGTAGGGCTGACGGCTGTGCCAGGCACCAGCATCTAGCGCACCAGGGCACATAAGTGACTTGTCAGCATGTTTTAACAATCATTGGTGATCAAAGCCAGATAGACAAGTGTAAAATTTGGTCCAACGCATTCTCGGATGGCTCTCTTAGCTCTATTGGTGAGATAATCTTTCGCGGAAGTGTTGCAAGCTCAAGTTATCTTACCTAACGCCTAGTGGGCCCTGGTCTAGATAGCCAATCTTCCGTAGAATTGTAGCAATTGGAAGAGGATTCACTTTGCATGATTGGACTAAGCATGCCAATGCTACATTTTAGAGGGTAGAACGGGCTCTTATGAGGCAGACTCCGGATTGAATTGTGCCCCATGATTTTCCCCAAGTCCCTTGTGCGGGGTTTGTAAACCCCCTCTACCCCAGTTACTAAACCCCAAGCTACTGCAATATGTTTACGCAATGGAATTCTCAGCCCACCTCGCCGAAATAATTGACCCCAAGACGAGGTGATCAGATCTAAATAACCAAGCATAGAGGCGACTTGCCTTAACAGCTCTTGAATCAATGCATAATATTGATTCAGTGTACACTTTCCTAACTTCGTCGTTGAAGTGAAGGCCGAAATCTTTGTTAAGGATGAAAACCGATAAACGATTCTTGCAGGCTTGGTTGACTATTCTCTAGTTGTTACTTTTCTGTGTATTGCTTTAACTTGTGAGATGATCCTTGATGAGTGAATCCAGTCGGTCCAAGCATGGGCATCCATAGTTATTTCTAGCTATTGCAAGTTTTTTGTGAACCCGGACACTGTGAACCCTTTAAGAGAGCTGGCTAAGCAGTTGGGTTGAAGAAAGAGATGCAATAGGTTATTGGCCAAGCTTCTGCCTTCAACGGGATGCACTGGTTTCCGGTATACGTTTGTCCGGCACATTACAAGATCTAGCCGTATGGGGTAATTGAATAGCTTCTGAATCGCGTTATTACCGAATTGCCCAAGTATCAGAATTCGGCAATTACCTCTTTCGGAATGTGGGCCTCGTCCAACTTATACCCCAATATGATGGAGAGCGTGACAAACAAATACTGCAGTAGTTGGGGTACATGCAGTGTATAAGTTACATGAAATGGCATGTCTTTGTGGAATTGAGCATCCACATTCTCCTCTTCCTGTCATTGATGAAAGAAAGAGTCACGTAGAAACAATGTCTCATACACAAGAGCCAGGTCTTCTACGGAAGTCGGTGAAGATTGCCTGCATTCAGTTCGCAAGTGGTATGTCGCTCTCTTTCATCATGTGGTCGAACGCTAATCTCATCCTACATAGGCCCAGATAAGCCCGTGAACCTGAAAGAGGCTCATCGTCTGGTATTAGAAGCGTCGTCTAAAGGAGCTGGTATCGTCGTTCTCCCAGAATGCTTCAATTCGCCTTACTCAACGACGTCTTTCCCGGCCTATGCTGAAGTGTTACAACCCGCCCCACCGCCTGAGGAGTCATCTCCGAGTTTCCACGCTCTTAGTCGCATGGCTAAGGATGCAAACGTCTACCTTATTGGGGGCAGTATACCTGAACTTGAGTCCGACACGCGAAACATCTACAACACGACACTGGTCTTTTCGCCGGATGGAGAGTTGCTCGGCCAGCACCGCAAAGCTCATCTTTTTGACGTTGATTTCCCCGGTAAGATGACATTCCGCGAGTCGGACACATTGTCCCCGGGAAATTCTATCACCACTGTTGAGCTGCCAGAGTATGGCACGATTGGACTTGGAATCTGCTATGATATAAGGTTTGCCGAGTTCTCCACGGTGGCCTCTCGTAGGGGTGCATTTGCTCTCATATTTCCCTCTGCATTCAATTCCACGACGGGACCTCTACATTGGGAGCTCCTGGCTCGTGCAAGAGCCCTGGACAACCAGTTGTACGTCGCAATGTGCTCTCAGTCGTTCGAGCCGGATTCTGGCTATCCTGCTTGGGGCCACAGCATGGTCGTTGACCCCAACGGGCAGATCGTGGCAACAACTGAAAGAGGACCCGCGATTGTGTATGCGGACCTTGACGACGCCTCAATCGGACAGGCCAGAAAGCAGGTTCCTATCGGCTTCCAACGAAGATTCGATTTGTACCCCGACATCTCGAAACTTGCTTAATGAACAGTTGACGAAAGTATCAAAATCGCTTCAAGAAACGACAAACAGACATCACGAAGTTTGGAATAGAGCATTAACAAGGCCAGTGGTATCACATACAAACTTGGAGAAATAAATCACATCTTAGACAAAATTAAAACTCTGTTACTGTCGCCCTCTTATGTAATGCGAGTTTTCTTCCATAAACAGACCAAAAGAGAGCTAGCGCTCTTGTTTCTCGCCTATGTATATTGCCGAATCCAGGTCATCTATGCTTAGTTCTATTCGATTGTCTATCGCTCTATGCAGAATGTCCCTCTACCAGGTTTTCCAGTGCCTCCAATGCGCCCTTTTCCCAAGCCAAAACCTTTCCTTGCCATTTCTCCCCAGCACCTCCTCCTTTAACGTCCTTTACGAGTTCCTTGATTTGCGGGACTAGACCTTCAACAGTCGCCTTCTGACCAAAGACAACAAGCTGGCCACCTTGCTTCTGTTCGCCAGTGGCAATAACAACAACCCCGCCACTCGAAGCGACAGCATCCTTGAGGTTTATAGTCATTCCCTTTACAAAATCGGCATTGCCATCAGCACGGTAGACCCATGCAGCTTTTCTATTCTGCAGCTTTTCTATTCTGCAGCTTGGCTTTGGCAGCGTCCGCTTCGAATTGCGCAATCTCCGCCAGCAGCTTCTTCTCTCTCTTCTTCAGATCGGACGTCAAGTCCTGGTTCTTCTTGACGTTCTGAACTACCTCCTCTGAAGTGTTGCGACAGGACAGAAGCTTTGAGATGGAGCCCATGGCATTGATTGAGGCAGTTGCCAGATTGATGGCTCTATCTCCGACAGAGAAATACAGGCGGTAGTTCTTGCCATGAACCGACTCGCCATGATGTAAAAGAATGAGCGAGATGTGCGAGGTTTGCGATAAATGTGTACCGCAACAGCTACAGAGGGAAAATTAGCAACTTGCCAAAGATGAGTCATAGCAAACCACGTACGTGTTACGATCAATATCTCCAATACGAATGACACGAACAACTCCTTTGCTTTGGTCATAGTCTCCTGGCATCTTGTGAACTTTGGCATCGTCAGGAGTTTCTACAGTAATCGGTAGATTGGCACGGATGAGATCGTTGCACCTGGTCTGGATAGCTTGCAACTCAGACTCCGAAGGCTTGCGCGGTAGATCGACGTAGTTCATGGCGTCGCTCTTTCCCATACCCCAGCCAAGCGTATTGAGGTTATCATATGTGTCCATGACGGCAGAGAGGAGGTGCTGGCCGGTGTGTTGCTGCATGTGGTCTCGGCGGCGTTGATAGTCGACTTCCTGGCGGACACGATCACCCGGTGACAGAGGCTGAGGTGAGTGGTATACACAGCGCAGTCCAACCCTTTCGACAAATTCTATCGGGATAGGGGTTTCAGAGGCTCCTGATAGCCGAGTGACGGTGCCATGGTCCGACGGTTGACCGCCACCTTGCAGTCCGGCTCTGTTAGTCTAGGAGCGCGGAGGAAATGCTGGTGATAATACCTTCGGGGAAGAGAACGGAATCAGAAAATTCAATGAGCCATGTTTCGGGATTCTTATCGCCATTGGCAACTGCCGACTTGTCTTTACTGCCGTTCTTTTTGGCTGTCGGTAGCAGGCGTTTCTCGCAAGAAACAACCTCCGTTTCCAAAGTTGTTAGATACGAATCTTGTTGGCAAGCCAGAGCTCCAACCACTTGCGCTCTTTGAGTTGACTCTGTCAAAGCCATTTTAAACAGCGATATCAAAGCCAAAGGTCTATGTTGAGGTAATAACGTTCTAGAACGACTCACGAGGTTTGATTGATTGATTGATTTATTCCTACTCGGTTATGAAGCCGCTCTTATGCCAGCAGCTATGCCCGGAAAGCGGGGTTTGGCAGGTAGCCGAAGCGTCGACAATGAACAGCGACGCCCCACTTCGCCCTGATGTTGCATCAGGGCCAGCTATCCCCAAGCTCCCCACTATGTTCTCTATTCTGTGTGTTTGTGCCCTCTGTTGAAGAAGTGTGTTGCTCTCCTGTCTGCTTTCTCGCTTTTGTGTTGCTCTCTAGAATGCTTGTTTTGCGTCCTCCTGCTTCGGTTCAGTTGGTGCTGGTAGCACCGTATCTGGTTCTTTGTACCTACAGTCTCCCCCCAGCGCTCAGCTTTGTCTCTTTGTTTTGTCCGTATCCTCCCGGACTTGTATATGCCGTTTTCTCAGTTGCATCTGTAAATTCTTTGTTGCCTCCTGCCGGGTTCCTATGTGGCCTCTTGTTTCTTGCCTGTTGACCACTATTGCCCTCCACCACATTGGCCCAAGGGTCTTCCACGAAGCACAATGCTCCACTGACTCCGACATGTTCGATTACTGGGTATGAGAGCTCCCGCACAGATTCCGCAGACATTGTCGCGCGTTGAAGGGACACCAATCCTTCTTCGCAAAAGGGGCGACAGGGGACCAGTCTGTCTGTGGTCTGTAGTATTGTGTGGCATCGATCGTAGCATGCCTAATGCCTGGTGCTTTCTCCGTGCGGAAGGTGATACTGTTCTGTCGGACTCATCTTCGTCGTTGTGGGACGTTGCAAACTTTGTCGGGGGTGACAGGTGACCCAAAACCTGTCGGCGGCTGTTGTGTTGAAGTTGATTGTTTGGGCGCAGTCTTAGTGCTTCGTGTAGCGGCTTGTGGCTCGCCTGTGGTGGTGGTAACAGTGTTGTCTATTGATATGTCGTATTTTGCGGCTTGCTCTCAAGTTTTTCATTGTAGTCGGGGCGTGCTCTGCGGCCATCTTGGGCCCCTTTGGGACGTAGAATCAAGGCCGAGGATGGCATTGCATCGAAGGGGGCTCTGTGGCCGCGAGCACGCGTATTTGGGGCCGTTTTTGCTCCGATTTTCAAAAATTTCGTTCTCGCTGTTGTTGATGTTTTTTCACATTTCAAAACGACTCACGAGGCACAGAGTGTAGATAAGATACGTCTCAGTCATCGGCATTCGGAACGAGTTCTGGCTCCGACTCACGTGACCGAGTTGGAGAACAACTCCAACACCCACTGGAGTCATACTTTCAACAATGACGCCAAGTGGCAATACTTTCTTTTCTTGATCTGGACCCTTCTTTGACCATTACCACCACCACCACCGTGGCAAGGATGATTAACCCTTCCTTCCCCATGCTTGCTTGATCCTAGAATGCGGGGTGGCCATTTGAGGAACATGCGACAGTATGACAACAATCGGCCTCAATGAGCCAAGTTTCACAGTTTGGAGATGGTTTTGGGAATAGTCCAAAATATTAACATTTATAACTTCTAATATGACAGTATCATTACAACGCTCAACACTCATGGCGCAGCATTGGAGGCGCAAGTCCAAGGCTTTGTCAACTTCTCAGTTGCAATAGCCTCAATTGACGCCCACAATCCCAGCACGCAAATGAGGAAGCCAGTGAGCAGCAACATGACGTTGGCCAGGAACTTGGCAATCTGCTTGCCACTCGTGAACCAGTTGCCGTAGTGCATCCACAGCCAGAAGATGCCGGGAAGACCGTACGAGAACCACGAAGCGAACAGGGCGCAAATGAGACCGAGCAGACTGTTGAAGACGGGGATCGACTCAGCAATGACCATGGAGATGGCCCAAATGCCGATGACAATGGCGATCCAGACAATGCCAGAGAGCTTGGTGCGGCGGATCATGTGCTTCGTGTTGCGGAACATGCGGGAGAAGATGTACTTGGCAGCGACGTGGCCATAGATGACACCGGCGATGACGATGGTCGGAATGGCAATACCCCAGATGGCCTTGCGCATGGTCTTGGAACCGGCAGCGGAGAGGGCGGGCGAGGGGACATCGGGACCGACGAAAACGTAGATGACGATGGCGGCAAGCAAGTAAAGGGTCGTATCGACGATTTGGAGGAGGGCCAGGGCCTTGGGCCAGTCTTCGGGCTTCTTGAACTCGCCAATGACGCTGAAGAAGCAGGAGTGGGAGGCTGGAAAAACGAATTAGTATGCGATGAGGGGGGCCTTTGGAAGCGCTGGTGGTGGCAACTCACAGAAAGAGATGGCAATGTTCGTCACAGCGAGGAATGCACCGGTGAAACCGAGCTGACGGGTGATGTCAATGCTTCCGGAACCGATAGGACGCTCGGCCGCAACATCACCCAAGGTGATCAACATGGCCAGGGTGATTGAAATGCAAGCTATTTTTGTCAGTCAGTATTCGTTCTTGCGCAGCATCATTTCAATGCGGGGTGGGGAAAACTAACAGGCCATAGACATCCAACTCGTGTACTTGAGCGTGCGGGGGAAGTTGAGCACGGCGAAAACGGCCAGACCAACAACGGCCCAGACAATGGTGCAAGTTGACGAGTTGGTAAGGGTGTTCATGCAGATGGTCCAGGTCAACAAGTGGCTACCCATGACGAAAACCTGGAAAATGACCTGCGCCCAGCCGAAAACCTCCTGGAACACACGGCCCATGCCAATGGACTTGCCCATGACCTCGACGGCGTCACCGAAGTTCTGCACGAAAGGATACTCCTTACGGAACTCGGCCAAAACCACACCAGAATACGTTGACAGGAAACTCATGATGAGGATGAGGATGATACCAGGGACGAGGCCAACAGTGGCCAGGACAGAGGGCAAAGAGAGAATACCCAGGGAGACGGTTTCGGCGATCAAGACGATACCACCTTGCCTAAGGTCAAAAAATAAGCACATGTTCGTTGCGATGGGGCCTCGATCGGAATTCAAACATACCACCAGGAAAGGGTCTTGTAATCGATGAGTTCACCATCCTCTCCTCCCAGCACACTGTTGTCCTCCGCAGGGGGCGCATACGCCGGCGCGGCGTCGGTGTTGCTGGCATCCATCTTGGCCTTCTGAGACTCCGCCATTTCGGGGTTGTTGCTGACGTCTGTTGCGTTGCCCATGATTGCTGTGTTGGGCTTTTTAAGAAGGGCTCACTGGTGGTGAATATGACGGTAAGGTTTCGAGTTTTGTCGGCCGTCCGGGTCACACCTGTTCCCAGTCACAAGGAGAATTTGTGAGCTTATCACAACAGAACAAAGTCTGATTGATGGGTTGGGAAAAAAGGGAAAAAGGTGGTTAGGAAGATGAACCACGGACGTCTGGAGAAACCGGAAGGAAAACCATTTAGCTGGAAACCTATGACTCCCACCGAAGGGACCAGATTTCTTGATATAATCCACCACACTCGCCGTGATCGGCCTCTCTAGCTTAAAAAGCTGCGAGGCGAATTGTCATACGAGGCATCTGCCGAGGCGATCTCGGCGCGTCCGTTCCACGTTGTCACACGCGGGCATGGCACGGACGGGGGTTCGGGAACGCGAACGGTCAACTGCCAACACAAACGGCCCTTTGGTCCCCTTTGCATGGAACTGACTCGGTCCCGCCCTGAGGCCCACTCGGCGTGGCGATTTGGAGACCTAGACCCTCTTCTAGAAGACGAGAACTGGAGCCTCATCCACTACCACGGAAGCCCTCCGTAAATCATGGTCTTTTTCAGACAGATAGTGAGACATTGACTAAAATTGTCAAGCTGTCAGTTATACAAGGAGACCTACTGATTCGAAAAAGACCGTAATCAACAGCTTTCCATGTCATGTCCTTAAACCCGGGGTTGTCCCTTTGTTTGAACCAGCTGACATGAGTTGACTTTTTTCTTCCCCAAATTGCCCCCCGAAAAAAGTTAATGGTCTGATCCCAACATGTGAAAGCAACAAAGAAAACATGTCAAATGCGCCTCGTAAAAGTTTTCAGGCGCGCAATACAATTGCAGATCCACAGGTTGCCTAAAAGTTACGTTATGAGTCCCACTTGGCATTGACTTTACTAATAAACATGTCCCAGTTGGTGGTGGAGGCTCAACATAAGTTCCCGCTGCTCCTACAAAATTTTCGGCCCTTTTTCCCCGCGTAGTTCCCGCTCCACCGAGATGCGCTCCCGACGCACATTCGGGCAATGCTGCCCAGTTCAGATTTGAGCATTGCCGTTGTCTAATGCCTACGACGCTGGGCCTTTACTATGTAGTTCTCCTTCGTCCGCCCTTCTAGATCTTCGCACGCCATCATTTTAGATGTTGGGGCGAACGATTGGGGTGCAGAATGGAGGCGGGGATGTACCAAGGAAACGTTCCATTCCCCCGTATTCGTGCACGCATCCTTATGCAGTATCGACACGTGTATGTAGGGAACGCACGATTTCTCACAGCATATCCCATTCTTTTCATAAGCCGCTGTCCGACTTGCCCCGGATGGACATCCGGATCTCATCCGATCCCCGCAAATCCTAACTGCGATGAGTGAGCGAGCGGGCTCTGGTAGGATGGGATACCCCAAAGTTGCTGAGACCTGCTTGGGCCATGCGTCGCCCTCTTTCTCCTAGACGGGCAGGTGAGAAATTCTCGCTTTTATGGAGGTTGAAGGAAAAAGGGGGTGAGCGGGCCCAATTTGTTGGGGGTCATGCCATTCTAAATTACACTCAATACCTCTTGTCATCGGATATTCCATGTGGCAGGTTTCTGGGGATTTTGACGTCTTTCAAGACAGAGTGCCGAGTTTACAACTCCATGCTTATACAACCCCAGATTCTACCTTCTGATCTATCACGGCGATGGCACAAGAAGAAGTCTTGTGATGCTTTTAGCGCCCGCCATCTTCAACGCTAACGTCGATCACAATCTGCGTCTATTAGTAGACCTATTCCTACTTAAGAGCTAGCTATAATACCCAAAATTCGTTTTGAGGTTTCTAACTCATAGTAAATTTTAGTTAACATCGCTTTTCTCTCTAGTCTTGGAAAGCCCACGAATTCAAATACGATTCATGATTCTGGCACCCATTGTCACAGGCAAAAGAATTGCATGCTTTGCTCGCCATCCGCTTTCCTTTCTCTATATATTGCTTGATCTCTTTTTTTCATGACAAATAAAGCTAGTGTAGCCGCATGAATCTGTTGCCTCTTGGAATGACCCCAAAAATATTTGGCATTGATCTAGTAGCAGGGAATCAACATTGTTAAACCCTGGTCTTGGGCGATGCCCTGTTTCGATTTCTGCTGAGAACCATCTTTGTATTCGAGTCTAAAGGTAGAGGTTAAGACCTCATCCCTCCAATCCCCTTCCGCCAATTCGTCTCCAAAAAGCCTTAATGTGCGAATCCTCACAGCATAGTCACCGGCATCTGCCCAGGACCCGTTGGGGAGACGTCCATCCCAGATCAAATGTACTGTCTCGACCCTGCCCCATCCTCCTTTCCGGCTCCCAACCTCGCGAGGAAACACTTCTGCTGGTGTGCCCCCTCCTGATGGTAAAAGCTCTGCTTGGATACCCCTTGTATCCATGTTCAGCTGCACCTGCACCACGGGAAGTTGCTCGTTGTTAAAACGATGTTCATCAGGGTTCTGATTGTCAAACGGCGGCTGATTTTTGGACAGCGTAAAGGTTTGGCCTTCATCCAATCTTTTGAGCCGTCTATTCCAGAAGCGTGCCATCTCAACCTCCCCCCTGGTGGCGGAGGAGAGGTAGGTGTAGTTCTTGTTAAGCGTCGGGATGTCTTTAATGTTGCAAGCAATGCCTCCGTAGGGAATTGACAAGTCGTGACTTTCCCCTGCGAAGGACGAAGTAAGCTTAACCCAGCCACCAAACAGAGGGCAAAGGTGCTTCATAGGCTCCAGAACCGTTGTATTAACGGACACGTCGACGGTTGCTTCTTCGCCAGGAGCGAGAGTTACCCTGGTTACAGATGTAAAGACTGAGACTTGTTCTTCCGGCGGCAGCGTCTTCAAAAATTCAGGACTAGCTTCTGGTGCCCTCACAGCCGCTGCAAACGGTACCGGCGCCTGCGTAATGCCGTCAAGACTGAGTACGCTCGCACCTGGAACGACAGACACGTTGTACTCAATGTGATTACCGCCTGAGTTGTGTAATCTGAACCTCAAAACCCTCTTCCCGTATTCGGTGTCGTTGAACGCAAGTTTTGTAACATCCGTCGTCACGCCAGTTTGTAAGACCACAAAAGCACCCCAAGCATCAACTAGCCCGGACCCCTGCTGCCAAGGACTAGAGAGAAAGCCAAAGGTCTTGTTTGTCCCGTCGTTGAACTCAACGGGGCGTGCCGTGTTTGATAACGTGTCCGCTATATGCTTGGTAGGAACTGCAGGAAAGGCCTCCTTCAACAGAGCAATCACGCCGACGAGATATGGGACGGCCATACTAGCCCCGCTCTGAATCCCCCATCCCCCGTTCCGACGAGGAAAGGTGCTCAAGATCCCACCGCCCGGGGCGAGAACGCTAGTTATAAACCGACCCTCGCCACTAGGTCCCCAAGACGTAAAGACGCTAACCTTAGCGGCTGTCTTGGAGTTAGGGCTAGATTTGAAAACGGGAGGCCTGGTGAAATTGCTGTCCATTTCAAGCTCGACCTTGTGACCGGATGAGATCAGCGCGAGCAACTCCTCGCCAACCTCAAGGGTGAGAGATGCCGCGCCGTGAATCTCCAAGCCGTCATCCAGTCTCACCTCGAGGTCAAAGGCTGGGCCGGGGACATTGTTATAGATCAGGGCATATTTCACGCCTGCCCTTACCAAGTTCTCCATTTTGGTTTTAAGGGTACACCCTCCCCGGCGCAAAAGCACTGCCGCATCCTTGAGACCCTGACCTTTGTCTTTGATCTCACTGCATCCACTGGCCTCTGCGGTAAAATCATCGTCGAGGCTCAATAGACTTATGCGCGAAGGAAACTCACTCCTGCGGTGCGCTGTCCACGTTTCTGGGTTGTATGTCAGGTTCTTGGTCGGAATACCATCAACGTAGAGTGTCGCCGGCCGGTAGACGGAATACAAATAAGGAGCATCCACGCTCCCGACTGCAAACATATCATCACCACCACCCTCGGGTGCGGCGGCTCCGAATGTTCCAGCATGTCCATTGTTGCCACTGACAACGACGATGAATGTCTTCCCCTCGCGATTGATCCGGGCTACAAGGTTTGAGAGAGGATCTGGATATCTGTCTTAGCACGGTCCGAAGGAACAGCCTGATAAGCCATTTTGGGGAACAAACATGCCGTCAGAAAATGGCTTGCTTCCACTACCCAAAGAAAGGTTGATTAGGTCGACCCCTCGTTCATAGGCACGTAAGACGGCACGCACGACAACGTCGCCTGTGCTCATACCATTACAATCGAACACCCTGTAATGCTCCACAGTCACACCGGGTGCGACGCCTCTAAACCCCGTCTTTCCGTCCACATCTTGAGCGAAGAGAATGCCAGCAGTGTGAGTGGCGTGGTTAGAGCAATCGCCGTATGGGTCATCATCTGGTTGCTCTTTGTTGGGAGGTTTAACCTGAAAAGACACGAATTAGCCCTATAAAATAGCCAACGCGTCGAAATTCACTTCAGGGAGGAGATTGTGTAAGACTCACATTGTCGCCGACGAAATCCCATCCGTATTGGACCTGATGCCCGTCTCCAAAGCCTTGGCCAAGCGCAGGGTGCAAGTAGTCTACCCCGCCGTCAATTATCGCGACTCTCACGCCTTTGCCCGTCAAATTTCTCTCATGGAGAAGGTTAACCCGGGTCATGATATGAACATCATTGAGGTGGTACTCTTCGTCAGCGGCTACCGTTTCGGCGGCATCATGCCCCGCATTATCGCCTTGAAAGGGAGGTTCTGACTGTTGGTCCAAACTGAGCTGGTGAAAGATTCCTGGCGCCCAGACGGACTTGGCCGATGTCACTTTGCATAAATCGGCATAACAGTCTGGAGCGCAGGTAAGTGAAAGGCCAGTAAATACCCCTGAAGAGTATTCGTGCGAAATATTGAATATGTGATTGCCCTCCAGTAAACGCGAAACGACGGCATCTTTCACCGATTCATAAGCCTAGAGCGACATTAGTGAACAGAAATAGACTGTGAAATCCAAATGTGTGTTACATTATTGGTCTTGTCGCCGCCCAGTTCTACAACCCAACTTTGGGGCGTCTGAGCCAGAGCAACACCTGCCTGGACAAGGGTTGCGATGAATCCTAGCCAAAGAAGTGGCGAGTTTAGTGCCATTATCTGAGAAAACAATATCGTGCTTCGGCACAGCTGATCATCCCAAAGAGTCGGGGGCCCCTATCAAGAGACGAGTGGGCGACTCGGGGGGTTGTGGTCAACCTGCGAAGTGTGAGGAGCTGTATTGACATGCGCAGGGAAGTCATAAGCACCCGTTGCGATGTGACTGGCTCGGTCTCGGATCGTGGACGATCACCAAGTGTGTAAGTTTCCGAGATTCCGTGTCTCGGTCCAGATCCGGCGAGTCACGTCCATTCTTGCCGCCCAAAGCCATAGCTCGGTATGCCTATAGCAATCCAAGTTGTGCGTCCAGCTACACAGATAGATGTAGCGTATATTCTACTCGCCAATGTGGAGTTGTCCCTTGGATGGCTTTTGGCACGCTGTGTTGTGCTTTAGAGGGATTGAGGCTGTATTCCAAGCAACGGATCAATGGGCCGTAAGGTGGAAAAGATTCACAGTGACTTTCAAGTGTCTAATTCATATTCTAGAAGCTGAATGTCAACTGTATAATGCTACTGAAAGAGGTGTTCTGTATCTTCTTCTTTCTAGTATTAGCCGATACGCCAGTTCGGTTTCTCTTCATTTGTATGCCGAGGCCTCAGGCGGCTCCATATTTTCCTTTCTGCGTCTCCCAATTTTCCCTCACTTTTCTGTGACTGCTTCTTTCATTTGTCCAGTCAAGTAAAGCTCCAAAATTCTTACATACATGATTTGACCCGTTTCCGTTTGCTCGATCCTTGGAACTGTACGTGCTTTGCCCTTCCAAGCTAGTATCTCCATAACACATTACACCCACTCTCAGATAGTCAAGGCAGTGGTTCACATGAGCTAACATGGGCTCAGATGTCGGATCTTTAACGAGAGCATAAAAGGCTTCCTGAATGCCTCTCAGGCAGTGCAGCTGGTGGAACACTGTCAGGCAGAATCTGTCCATTGGAAGGTCGGCCTCTGGATTCCGGTTTATGGGCGGAGGTAGAGCCGGATTATGGGGGTCATCTATGAGGATGAAGCCGTTTCCCTCTTTGGTCCGGCGCTGGTTAGTACACTGTCAGTAGATAGAAGATAGGTCAAAAACATACCTGGAACAATACTTTCCCAGGCTTTCTTTAGCGCAAAGTCATCTTCTGCCGTTGCTATTCTCGGATCATCAAGCGTGAACTTGCTGTCGTTCCAGAAGAGCCACAGCTGCTTCTCGACTATAATAGCACATTAGTATTCGGTATGGTTCTTGTAAAAGATTTCGTCTATGCCATCCGGCATATCACATACAGACTGGAACTTGACCTGATATTTCCTCTGCCAACCCCCAGTCGCCCTTGCCGTAGCCCATATACAAAGCTTTTGGTGACGTCTCATGTGTGGAGGCTTGTAAGTGATTTTTGCTAGCCTGGTGAGCTGAAAATGACAGCATCCACAGGCAGATTGTAGCGCTGGTGTAGAAAACGACTTTTAATACTGAGCTTAGTCTGTCCATCGGTGACCGTGATCGGTAAGTTGAGGGTTGCCAGTGCGTTGGCGGAAGTAAGTTGAGCTTTTCTACGTCATTATCGACGCTGGGCGAGCTGCAGGTCCTGATAGGATGCATTTGGCAAGGTTTAAGAGGATTCTTCTGCAAGAATTTCTACAACAAAAATTCAATGGCATTCAGTTTTTAGTGGCTTCGGCCAGAACTTAGGTGTATCAAAGAAATTCCATGTATAAGAACATCATGCCTTCAGTGACGTGGCGCGAATTTCGCACGCCAGGGATGACATGGAGACCGCGGAAGCTGGGCACATACGGATGCCTTGCAAAATGGAACCAAATACCTTCGGACCGAGGAAACCTACCTGTATTATGATTTGCGACATACTGTGACAGCATGAAGCTGCGAGGGAAATGACTTTATATCGTTTCTGACCCATATTACCCTGTGGCAGACTTCGGTGTTATTTGCTCAGAGTCCAGGGTGTGGAATCGCGTGCCCCATTCTGTAGTTTCGAACACAAAAATATGAATAGATAGTGAAGATTTTTGACATATGTTCTTAATATTTCACATTTGTAATTGAACGCGTAGATGCTTCAACTCGTGAGAAAATTCTCCATAACGCGAGCAAGGCGGATGGCACCTGAATCCACCACCCTATAAAACGCTTCGCTCGCCATTATAACTGCAACAGTGGTCAGTCCGAATGCTAGCAGAAACCCGCCTTGCTCCTGAATCCAACTCTCTGTGCCCGTCCAAGCCCAGAAGAACGCCAATAAACGACTGCCGGCGACCAAAATTATCAAGTAGTGAACACAATACAAGGCATAAGATATCCTTCCTAAATACAACACCGGCCTGAGTGAAAGGATCTGCTGCACAAGCCTAAGGCGTAATACTGCATAAAGTAGCATTACAGAGCCAACATTGTGCCAGTGGTTGTGCTGCTTGTCAATGAGGCTCAGAAATCGGTAGGCAGGCGATAAATATCCTTTGTTGGGCGGCCAGCTGAGAAGATAGAGACTAAACACCATGAAAACCCAGCTTAAGGCGGATTCCACCAATATTCGATGTTTTCTCTTCATTTTCGGTTCTTCTTTGCGCCAGATATCCATGTCAGCCAACACCATACCTGCCAAGAACAAGCTTAGCTCTTCTTGTTCTCTACTTAGCAGCATGCAGTAAACCGACAGGACCAAGACAACAAGGACTCTGAGTCTTGAACGAACTGGTTCGAGGATCACGAGCAGCAGAAATACAGTCATGCTGCACCTGAACTCATGGGGTATCGTCCAAAATTGTGGGCCGTACTGGCTTGCAGGTGTGTCGGGACTTGCTGGCCACGGGTTGACAAGGCTTCGTACCACCCATCGTAGCCAATCAGCTGTTTGCAGCCAAAGGCTTGGTTCATGGTGTGGCACTCTTGCGTGCTGTTGCGAATGTGTTGGAGGTGGTGTTGAAGGAGGAAGTTTGTCTAGCCAGCCCAGGCAGGTGGCGAGAAGAGTGAAAAGGCTGACCACAATTGGTGGGATAAAAAGTCTAAAGCCTCGTCGGATGCCTAGCGATGCTACCTTGCTCGCAACTTTTGCCGTACCACCGTCTTTGGCGGCTCTCAGAGGCCCCAAAGAAAGTACGAAACCCGATAACACGAAGAACACACGCACCATAGCATCACCAGCATAAACCAGTCGAACGAACGGCAGCTGCATAATACTGGTGTTTTCGGCGCCCATACCGTAGGCAAAAAAGAGATGAGGCTGGTATGGCCAACTGAAATGCCATATATAGACGGCAAGGCAAGAAACACCTCTCAGACCGTTCAGATAGAGTATTTGGTCATTCTCTTGCCATTTAGGTTCTGTCATTGAAGAAAGAGAGGCAGTAACGGAAACAGATGATTCCATTTGCGAGACTGGCAAGGAGGTGTAAGAAGTATGAGGATCGTTGGCGGTCATCTTGGCAATGATAGCCAGCAAATTTGACATTCGCTTGTATAATCTAGGGTGGTGCTAAGTATGATTTTTCTCCGGTTTGGAAGATGAACGGCCTTTGCTCACCTTGACGCCATTTTGTGACGATATCTCGACCTCCTGATGAAGATAGGCTCAAGTGGCAAAGTCTTGAATTGGCGAACCAGTTTGAACAAGAGTGAACAGGAACCCCTACAGACCCGGCGTAGTAATACGAGTCTGTTTAATCATTTGATTAATGGTTTGCTGACATGTTTTCCGAAAGCATCTTGAATCAAGCCGTGCGTAAACCATGTAGACATCTCACTCCCGGTCTGTGAGCTAACTCAATGGACCATGTTCAGGGGTTGGGTGGAACACACGAGGTCGGACCGTGCAGACACAAGGCACACCCAGCTGCCATCGGAAATATGCCCAGGCCCCCTGGCCAGTTTGAAGTCGGTGTTAGACAACTTCAATTCTTCCCAGAATTGCTATCAAGGGGTATTCTAAGCCTCACGCAGATTCAATTTTCAACACAGCAGCTTTGAGCTCCTGAACAAGACGCTCGACTACCAACATACTTCGGATCAGCAACATGAGTTACGCTACTGATTCAGCCGAGTCCGCAACTGTTAGCCGCGATGCTTCTCTCGATATCGCCACCAATAATGACAGAACCGGGGATAATATCATGTCCCAAGATAAGGCGGCGCAAACGAGAGGCTTATTATCGAAATTCGCAGCCAGCGTCCCCAAGCCGAAAATGCTCATGCATCCCTACGCACAATACTCTCGTCTTTCAACAGATGGCGAAGAAGATGCTGGTGCCGATTCTTCTACGAGATCTGCAGAGAGACTTCAAGCCTATTGTCGTTCTCTTTGGCGATGGCGGATCACCTCTGCGCTGTTAGCTGTAACGCTTTTCTCCCTAGGCCTGTGCTTCTGGACGGGCCGCTTCCAGCTCGCACCTTTGCCGCCAAATGCGGACATCACCAGTCTTACAGCTGATTTACATTCCATGCCGTTGTGAGTAGCGACGAAATTTATCTAGGAAGTGCTGCTAAGTGGAAAATTTCCTTGCAGATCTTGCGGGAACACCACAGCCGCCGCCGTCCGTAGAGATTGTCTATTCAACCCTCTTTCAAATAGATGGCTCCCAAAACGCTGCGTTGTTGCCCTCAGCGATCATATCGAACCGATGCTAAAGACAATCGATCCTGAGCCATACAAATTTTATCGGGATCCTGAGGGTTCTCAAGAGATTCTTGGACACGAATGGGCTCACATTGATCTGGAGAGTACGTCTTCTCTGTGCTTCCCCAACTTTGCCTTTTTCTTTTTATGAAAGATGGGGAATTTGCTGACGTATATGGAACTACAGCCATAGTTTGGACGACAGAGAGACATCATATCACTCGTTGCGTGAACCTGCTGGCACAAGGAGCTGGGCAACTAATTTTCGGCGGGTAAGCTCTGCGGTGTTGCTGTTCCTTATTTCCTTTCATGGTGCAGGGTAGCTGATTGGGACTCGTCGTTGTACGACTCATAGAATGATAGAGGAGCAAGCGCGCGATTGGGACCACGTCAAGCACTGCGTTGACACGATTCTGTCGGTGGGAAAGGGATTACCTGGGTGGAACAGTATCAACAGTTTTGTGAAGCTTAGGTCTGGTGAATGTTACTGAGAATTGACTTTGACCGAGTTTTCTGCTGAGTCATGGAAATATTGAGTTTTTCTTAGTCAATTTATAGTTTTCTAGTGATATATGCCTAGGCAGAATATCTGTGATTTTAGTCCTATGTCATGGCACAGCTGACTGTTCACCGCTGGCATGTCAGAAGAAAGCATAATATTGTACTTTTAGACCTATAATTCTCGGAATCGCTGGTATACGGTCATTTTGCGACGGTCCGAAACTCTTCAGTTAGTTTCTTTAGCGGTCGGAGTGTTCACGGATGGCCGAGTCGCGTCTACACACAGTGTGGATCTACATGAAAAGCTATTTCGATGCTAGATTCTAACTCATCGGTTAGTCCGAACAGCCACTCAGGTAGTTCTAATTTGGTCGCTATAGGCTACCGGTTGTGAGCACGCAGGCTACGACAAATTATAGTTTGATGTGGTTGAAAATGATAGTCGGAGGTGATGGCTTCACCACTCTGGCTTTATCCAGTTGCGAATATGCTGTGCAACCTCAATAACAATCTTCTATTCTCAAGATGATGGCGTTTTTGTTTCTATCACTTGGACTTCTCTGGCTTCCAGCAGCATTATGTCATCCGGGTCAAGATACGACACCAGAAGCAAGAGCGAGAAGCGAATATCTATCTCGACATCCTCGAATGGTCAGAGATTGTCGAGCGGAAATTAAAGACGAGGCATCATTTATTCGGCGCCGCGCAAATTCTTTTAAGGACGTAGCGACCAACCATGGCACAGACATACCAATTCACAATGTGGGTAAGCCATATTACGCCAAAAAAGACTTGCACGGAGTCTTGTCGATGAATCACGAGGCTGGGACGAGCAAGGATGATGAAGAGCTGTTGCTCTTTGCAGATTACTCTAGCTACGCTCTTCAGCCATTTGTCACACCGGGGTAATTATGCTCGCGAACCTTCTTTTGTCAACCACTCCTTAGCTGACAAGTGAAACACATTCATAGACCGTATTTTGTCTCGGGTGAGCTGATTCGCAGTGATATAAGGGAGTCACAAGTTGGGATACCACTGGTACTTGAGATTCAATTCATCAATACTCGGACATGTCAACCGATAGAGGGACTCTACGTAGAGGTCTGGCAGGCAAATGCCACAGGTGTTTATAGCGGTGTAGCCAGCTTTGATAACGGAAATAGCGTTCAAACTTTGGACTTGGATGAGAATGATACTGGGAAGAGAAAAATGACCGGCGGCATTCTCAACGAGAGCTGGCTGAGAGGGGTGCAGCAGACGGGGACAGACGGTGTAGTACGCTTCAAGACCATCTTTCCGGGGTGGTACAATGGTAAGCTCTCGATTTTGCTCACTATTCGGATCCTAACGGTAAAACATCAGGACGAGCCACACACATTCACCTTTTGGCACACAATCCTTCCTCTGCTAAGCAACTTCCGAATCACACAGTTGCTTCTGAGTCGCCTAGCACTCACTCAGTACGCGCTTCTCACGTTGGGCAGATATTTTTTGATGCTACACTGCTAGACCGCGTTGCTGAGACGCATCCGTACAAGTCAAACGCTCAGTGGCGCATCAAAAATGAGGAGGACGCTGTGCTCATGGAGGAGGGCAACGTTTCTGACCCGATGGTGCAATACGTGACGTTAGGTAATAGTATTGAGACTGGAATTTTTGGTTGGATAGCCATCGGCAATGACCCTCAAGTGGATGTCGAGGTCAAGATTGCGGCGACCTGGTTTGGAACTTGGGGGCGGATGTGGAGGAAACTGTGGCACTGAGTTAATCAGACTGAGCTTGTCTTAGGTATGTAATTTGACTAAATTACCAGTCTTTGAGATATCTTTAGCTCCTAAAAGTTTCCAAACTCCTAATATCATAACCTACTATACTTCCGCAAACTCTTCCCAAGTCCCGCTAATGGATGAGACATATTCGCATGACCTGTTGCGAAATGACTTAGATTGTTATTGGAGAGGACAGAGTTACTATGTGCTTTGTAGTTGTAACTTTTCCCTGGAAAATTTAACCCAGTAGTTCTCCCACAACAGCCTTCTTAACCTTTTCGCCGTCTCTTCACTATTCTCGTGTTGGCGAACTAACTCGGGATAAGTGTATCCCAGCGTTTCCCATTCCCAAGCTCGCCGAGAGGTCCACAGGTTTCCATCAGCTGTACGAAAAGGCGCTAGTCCTGCAAATGAAGAAAATGTTACTAACGATCATAACTATCACTATATGACCAAAAACTTGCCTGTATCCCATCCGAGCATTGATGCATGCTGCGCAATTGAGTCACCAGACCAATCCCGCTCTTGTATTATTGTCGAGTTGGGATTTAATGTTTGCCAGAATGCAAATATACGGTCTAAATTGGCATGATGAAGCCAAAATAATGGATCAAAGGCCGCAAACTCTGTGGTGCTCAACTGGCTTCCCTTCCCGCCTGCTGCGTTATGGATGGCGTTGTGCAGAACCTCAATGTTGCTGTCGAAGGGGTCGATGGGATGTGGCATGCGGGAAAATTCATCGTATATACTAGTATACATTAGGCAGCTGTGTGTGACTGAAAGAAGGCTGTATATCGTAAGCAGAAAGCTAGATGGTATAGGAACGGCACCTTACAGCTTTGCGCGGGACCGCATAGCGATGTTGGCGGCTGTATGATTACTCCTTCCATCTGACCCAGGCTTTCTCAATGTCTCCATTGGCCAAATCTCCTGCAAAAATATATTTAGCTGCTTCCGTTTCCATCATCAACGGCGTGAGAGGGCGTCGTTGGTGAACCTACCGTGAATTCTTTTGAAAAGACCTTCTTGAGCTCACTACCGGCAGGAAACTTGTAGCTATAAAGAGGATTGGAAATCTCTCTCCAACCTCCTGGCGCTTGTAACTTGATTTTCTCCATTGTCGCTATTTTTGGCAAATCTGGATTGCTCAGCCAGTCCCAGTATGGCAGTCGCAGTGAGCTGGCGGCCTGTAAATATATGTCTCTGTTTTTCTCTGGATACTCTGTGGCAATTCCATGCGCCGCCTCTAGAATTTTGCTTTCAAAAAGCAACATATAAACCCGATGCCATGTGGGAAACAATATACTAACGTCCCACACCCACTTCTGGGCACCCCCCACATTTGGGCACCCCATTTACACCAAAAACGCCGTTTTTCGAAATTCTATATTAAACTAACTACTATACTTACTAAGAAAAGAAAATATATATAAACTATGTTAAGTATAATTATAGCCATCTAATTTTTTATAAAGGTTTAAATATAATAATAGTTATAATATAGAAGTTTAAAACTAAAAGCTTTAAAATGTTAGTAGATACTAGTAACTTACTAGTATTCCTTAACATTAGAAAAATATATTTTCGCTTATATATACTTATTTAAAAAATCTAGGAAATTAATATTTATACTTATTAAAAGTATATAATTATATCTAAAAGAGATTTAAAAGTATTACTTTAGTAAATATAGTATAATTAAGGGTTAAAATTCTATAATAGAAACTTTTCTTAAGGGAAATTTTAAAATATTATTCTAAGCTTAAAGAATTTTTTACTAAGTATAAGAATATATAAATCTACTATATCTTACTTAAAAATTCTAATCATATTAGTTAAATATCTCTACCTATTTTATATATTAAGATATAGGCTAGGTAAATTAGTATTATAAATGTTAAACCTTGAATTTATAATACTTATTATTAATAATACTAGTATATAGCTACTTAAGTATTATAATTAAGTCTTAATCTATTTAATATATATTTATTCTCTTTAATAAGTAAAGTATTTAGTTTAATATAGAATTTCGAAAAACGGCGTTTTTGGTGTAAATGGGGTGCCCAAATGTGGGGGGTGCCCAGAAGTGGGTGTGGGACGTTATAGTGTGTACAGTAACCAGGCTCGTCAGTGCTTGGGAGAGGGACACCATCGTATGGGATTGCAGGGTAGCCATGAATACCTATTGAGACCATTCAGTAAGCATGTATCGGGAGGCGCATCGCCATCAAAGAATATGGAAAAAGCCACTGCATCGTCCGGCTCACCAGCAATCTGGAAGTATCCAGATTCATCATTAATCCCCCGTGCTTGGAGCGCTTGCAATGCAAGAACGAACAAATGCAGTTCCGGGCCCCCTAGGTGCATGAGATCGTTGATCTCACGGCGTACAGGAAGCGGTTCTGAGGTCTCCCACGGAAAACCTGAATTAGGCATAAAAGCAGCGGCTGGCTGCAGCAGCGCCAAAAGACCAAGGCAAAGGAGCATATTCGAATGAGTTGCACGACTCTTTCAAGTTGGCAACCACATTCCCACCCGCTTGATAAGACATGCATGAATCTGCGTTTGGGAAGTAACATTGGACGGAAAACTAGAGCAATTATATCTGCTGCCAGCCAGCACTTTATTCAAAAGAATACAACCCTGTAAACTCTGATGCCTTCAGACGAGACAAGACGAACTCAGAGACTGAGTCAGAAATTTTATGTAGCTGAGAGCTGATTTGCATTCTTCATCTCCCTCGGTGACCTCTGTTATCAAGTAGTCTGCTATGAAGTGGCTATCTGAAAGAATCCCAAACTGTGTCCCCTGGTCCCCAATTGACGCTGCTGAGTGCCTTTTTCTCGCTTCGTTCAACAACTTCCCATAGTAATCCGGGGTCACGACATTTGTGTTGTAGTCCGACACCATTGACAACCCAAGCCGTCTGCCTGCCATCTACATCGAATTGGCGCTGTGGAGGCTCAAGCGTGCCATCGGCACCGCAAGTGATGACCTTGAGGAGAGAGTCTAAGTCAGTTCATTCTCAGGTTGAGTTGTGTACTCTGCTCGAGACACAAGCCATAGTCACGAACCTGGTAGAGATAAGAAAAGCAATGAGTAGCATGCTTTGGGTCCATATCATGTTCATGAGCCTTAAATCTCCTCGATTCTTGAGTATGGTGAGTGTGCAAGTCGTCGTATTCTGGCGGGATGGCTAGCTTGAAAACCTCTCTCATCATTTGCAGACAGTGAAGTGCGTGGAACATGGTAATTCCCCACCCTTCTCTACCGATATTCTGGTCAGTGATGTTGGTCTGAACCCAGAGAAATCCCCCTTCTTTGGGCAAAACGGCCGAATTCCATATTTCGTCACCCCGGGGACCGAGGTCTTCAAGCTCTCTGAGATATTTGAAATTCTTGATGATGGAATGGTTCCGAGGAGTGAGCCCCCGCGGATCAGAAAAGCTGAGGGCCGTGGACAGGAATGGCGTCAAATTGAAGAGAACGAAAAAACAAACCAGGCCGGTTGACAAATATGAAAGAAAGCGGCTAATACTAGCGATTTGGATTGTCATTATTTCTTGTACATGGGCTTTCCAATTTGAGACTGGCGTAACTGTTGGTTGTCGGTTGCCAGTAAGCAGAACAGTTCCCTGTGCTTGTCACGAGCTTTTACTGTGTTTTCGAAGCGAGAACCTAGGGCCATACGGTCAAGCAACAGACTTTAGCGCATTTTTCGGATCTGTTCACCCATTAAAATTTTCTTTCCTACCTCTATTTTCGGTCCTAAACTTACTTTCTACAGTCGGATGCTTGGCCCCTGACTCGCCATCTTGTTTGCCGCCGAACATGAGCACCGTGACCTCTTACTAAACTGAACTCATGCTCAACCGTCTCTTCATTTGATGTTGAATTTCGTTATGAGAGTTAGCTACCGGTTGGAAACGATGGAATCAGAAAAGTCCAAAGACTGTTGGTCTCTTGATGCACTTCCACAAACGCATCAGCGTACGCTTTCCAAAAAGCAGCACCATCGTCTGCTCATCAGAGAGACTGTTATACTCTGTTCTCTCTTCGGCAATCTTGTACTTCTAGGCATTTTGTTTGCGAAGAAGCCCACCATTCAGCAGTGCATCAAGATGACGTCAGCGTATTGTAAGTGGTGACAAACACGTACGAACGCTTCCACAATGCCAATGCTAAAACGATGGGGAAAGCACCTCTATACGAGCGCTATTCAGTGAATATTTCGCCCAGGCTCAGTATCAACTCTTCTCTTGAACCCGGGTTGACGCCTAGCATCTATCGCCAGGCTCCGTCCCCTGAGGTTGATGCAGCTTGGAGTCGAGTAACGAGCACACACCTCTTCCCTATGCGCAAGGAAGAGGTTGTGAAAATGGGTAAAGATCCCAACTATGTTGCGCTTATGCCAGAAGAATTCGGCTTCGGAGAGGACTTACATGCTGGATTTATGGACGTATTTCACAAGATTCATTGTCTCGACGTCCTGCGGCGGGAGGCACATAGGTATGTAGCCGCAAACATCCCTTCTCCAAGAAGCTTTCAGAGAGCTGACTGAACGTTTGTTTTCTTTTTGTTTGCAGTGATTATTACGGTGCTTCCAGCAAGTCGCCTCTGGGCCAAGCTCACTTAGATCATTGCATTTATATACTCCTCGATGGGCTCATGTGTAAGCCGAATATGCAAATCATACCATACATCTGGCTAGAGGGTCACCCTACGCCAACGCCAGACTTCATCAACACTGATGTTTGTTGGGATTTTGAGAATGTTATAACGTCGCACACCTACTTCTCGCACACCCCCACATTTCGCATACCTATAAATCGCTTATGTAGAATTTTACCCTCTTCAACATTCTTTAATATCTTTACTACTTTTATAGCGATTATTATAATTCTTTAAATAATTACTCTTATATGCTTAATAGGCTAGTATATAGAAGCAGAAGTTAATCAAGCCCTTATGTTACGACCCGTAAACAAGGATAACAGCTGAACGACCCACTTGGGCGTCGGGCGGCTAGAACAGGACATTTGTACTGCAGGATCACGGGAACAACAGGGACTCACTCGGGAACGGAAGAACTATGGTGCAAGTCACGTGACGATAAGATAAGAGATTAGATCCGTACGCCAAGAATACGGAGTCCGTCCTTGGCACATACGGGATCCGTATGAACGAGGAACGGACCCCGTCAGGATCAGGAACGGTAAAACAAACAAAGGGTACTGTTCGGACTTGTATATAGTATGACCTGAGCTCGACTCATAGTCAGACTTCCATAGCTCTTCAGCAATCAACTTTGTATTCATCCTCAGGATACTTTTAGCTTACCTTCACTGCGAATACTTGTTGAGCCTAAGATTGATCACCTTAGCCTCTGACTACCGATCTACGACACAGCCTACGACCTACGAACCAGACTTACGACACGACAATACTGTTTACTAGCGTCAATCCCCAACTTCTGTTAGCAGACCCTACTGTCGGATAGCTGACCGTAACACCTTAATATAATTGCAAGTAGGTAGAGTGTCCGGAAGGCAGCTTATAGTGCTAGAATTCTACCTTTAACCCTCTAGTCTCGATTAAAGGGTTTATAAGCAAGAAACTTAGCTTTTTCTAGCTTCTAGAAGCTATCTTGTTACGGCTAGCTAGTAACAGTAGGGTTTCTGCTAATAGAAGTTGAGGCTACGATACTAACAATAGGTCTTGCGTCGTATATAGGTATGTCGTACTAGTAGATCGAGGGTTAGGGTAAGGTGATTAGTCTTATACTAGGTAACGAGGTATAGTAATATTATAAACTATAAGCTAAGCTGAAAGTTATCGAGGATGAATTATAAGTTGATTGCTAAAGAACTATCTAAAAGGTCTTAAGCAGAGCTTAAGTCCTGATCTATATATAAGTCCTTAATGATCGCGTAATAGATCTTAATAAGCGCTTGTCGTATACGATGAGCACTTATTACTAAGGGTAAGCGCTTACTTCCTTAGCTAGGCGCTTATTATATTATCTTATCTCTACGTAACCTATATGATAGTTCTTCCCTTCCGAAGTTCCTTTATTACCTTATCCCGTATCTTATATATAAATGCCTTGTTCTAGCTACTAACCTAGGTAGGTTTGTTAACCCTTTGTTAGGCATAACGAACGGGTTGTAATATTAGGTCTCCCTAGAAGGTCTAGCTTCTAGACTTAACATAAGTAGGTTGTTTTACTAGATCTATTAGTTTCTATATTTCTCTCTTTCTTTTACTAATAAGATATTAGAAGAAACTCCTATACGTAGCGCTACTTATTTACGCTATCTTCGCTATATATTTAGAATTATCTATAAAGGTTATAACGCTATTATGCCTTATTCTTATTATCGGTTAAATAGCTTTCGTTATCGCTTGCTAGTAAGCTTGTCTATTTATAGCAAGTATGTTTATATAGGTAAGACGAAGCGTAATTATAACGCTAAGGAGGATGCGATTTATAGTCGTAAGTTCGTAACTATTCCTTATTCTCGTTAGTATTATTAAATTTTTCTTTAGTTAAAAGATTGTTAGATAAATTAAGTCGCTTAGATTGCGAAGAGTAGATATCTAAAGCGTTATTTATAAAAAGAATAAAGGCGTTATAAAAAGCGTAAGCTAACGTAAATAAAGCTTTCGCAAAGGTAGAGCGTATTCGAAAGTAGAAGTAATATTATTTTTAAAAAGGTAGGATTAGTTAGAAGTCGAGGAGGTAGGTTCTTTTAAGACAGTCGCTATAAATAACCTTTATGCCTTAAAGGTATCCGATATTATTAACTAGTCTAGCGTTAGACTTCCCGATGTTTTAGCGTCTTTAGGTTTTAGTACGGCTAGTAGTTAGGTTTTATAGTTTTTAACCCTTTATTCTTTTAACTATCTTAACTACTAAACGTCTCCTTTATCGTCTTAGTACTTCGTATCTTTTTATACTTTCGTTCTTCCTTAGGCTATATATTTTTCCTCTTCTAATATTCGCATAGTTTTTCTAGAGTATTTTTTAAGTATTCTACTAGTTCTTATAAATTATCTTTATATCTATAGCCTTTCTATTTAACAAAGTATTCTAGTTAATAGTCTTTTATTATATAGTAGTCTAGAACTTTCTTAACTTTATACTTAGTATCGTTAGTATCTACTTCGATATAGTTGCTTATATATAAACCTTTTAATACTATTTAAGAAGTAAGATATAGAAGACTAGGTAATATTTTATAGTTTCTAATAGTTTTAACTTATAGTTAACTTTAGAAATTCTCTTAGTAATTTAAAAGGTCTTAGTTTCTTAAAGTTAAGTTTATTACTAAGTCGTTTCGTTTTAATATTACGTTTAAGGAGGGAAGTATTATCTCCCTCTTTAAAAGATAGTCCCTTTATCTTTAAACGGTTTATATGTTTTTTTATTCGTTATCGTACGAATTCTAAGTCTTTTAGTAGGTTTTCTTAGATTTCTTAAGTTTTTAATATTTATAATAGCTTTTATCGTTACTAAACCTTATCGAGGTTCTCCGTATATAATAAGGTTAAATCTATAGTTAAGAAAGAAAGGTAATTCCTAAGTACTTTCTCCTACCGCGCTATTATATGCAAATTATGCTATAGGTAGTAACTTAACCTAATTATCTTATTTATAGTTAATATAGTATTTAAGATATATTTCTAAAATCTAATTAATTCTTTCTATTTATCTATCGGTTTGTAGATAGAAAGCAGTATTAAGTTTATACTTCGCTCTTAGTTACGAGATTAAGGATCTCTAAAACTTAGATATAAAGATAGATCTTCTATTAGATATAATTTCCTATAATAGTCTATATTAGCTAACGATAATTTTAAAAAAGGTATATACTAAATCTTTAGCTATGCTTAATTCTAAGTAAGGTATAAAATAAGCGTATTTAGTAAGTCGCTTTACTATAATTAGTATGCTATCGTATTTACCTTAGTAAGTAGTTTTTTTAATAATATAGCTTAATTATAAAGTCTAGTAAAATCGAATGCTATAGTATAGGAGGTATTGGTAGTAGCTATAATTCTCTATATAGTTTATATCTACTAGGCTTGCTTTTAGCATAGACTTTATAATCCTTAATTACTTCGGCTATATCTTTATAAGTAACTTATTTATCGTAATTTATTTAATTTTCTTCTAGGTTTTAGTAATACCTTAGTAGCTATATATAGGTATAGTATAGATTTCTATAATCTAGTCGTAAGTTATTTTTCTAGTCGTATTAGTCTTAACTTTTTTACTAATTATTAAGAGTTTCTATATAGTATAAGTCTTCCGTCGTATTTTTAAAATAACTTAAGTTTTTCTAAGACTAGGATTATAAGGTCTAGTCGTCGCTAAAGTATTAGCTTTACTATTTTCTAATCTTTACGATAGATAATTTTAAAGTTAAATTCTAATAGAAATTCTAACTATCGTATTTATCGCTTATTAAGTCTTTAGATATTATAAAATATGCTAGGTTTTTATAGTCGGTATAGACCTTGACTTAATACTTAGTTTTGAAAGTTATAGTCTCTATTCTTTAAATGCTTTGATAATTGCTATAAGTTCTTTATTATGAATTTAGTAATTAGCTTTGGTTTAAAAGTTTCCGAAAGTAAAAGGTAATAGGTATAGAATACCGTCTTTATCTTGTTACTTAAGTTATCTTCCTATAGCAGAATCCGAAGTATCGGTTTCTAATTCGAAAGGTTTCTTAGG